TTTTCTTTACCCGTTTATTCCATTTTGGGTCTCGGTGGTCGCCGTATCATTAAAAAAGCAATCACTGTGTGAGGGGCGGGGTACACCCTGGACAGGTCTCCAGTCCATCACAGGGCCACATAGAGACAAATAAGACAAACAACCATTCACTCTCTCACTCACATCTAGGGACAATTTACCAGTCAGTCTAACATGCATGTTTTTGGTCTGTGGGAGGAAACTGAGTAACCGGAAAAAACCCACACAGGAATGGAGAGAACAAGCAAACTCCACCCAGAAAGGCCCCCGGACCGGGGTTTGAACTAGGGACCTGCTCGCTGAGGGGCAGCAGCTCTACCAGTTGCGCCACGGTGCTGACCCTTCACAAACCAGTTATGTTACAATCCATCTACCTGTTTTACATTTATAGTCCACTTAATGGCGCAGTAGAGCAAATGAAGCACCATGGGTCGTCAGATCATGAGTCGAGCTATTTGATGGAAAGCTCTGCTTCATGAAGCTTCGTCTCACCATCACTAGAGATTAGGCTCGGGTATCAAGTCTCTGGAAACACAAAGTACACTTTGGTAGTTTACACAATAAAGGGCTGGAGGTACAACCAGTTGGTGGGTCATGTTCCAGCAGGGAATGGAGCTCAACTGAAAAATTATTCTCCTGGATCCAATTAGTGGAAACGACTTCCAGCTGCTGCTCATTGGTGCCACCATGAAACTCAGGAACCTGGAGGCAAAAACTGAAAACCGTACAGGTGTTACCATTTTTCTGTTTACTAGAACGCGTGTTTAATTAAACACATTATAATTTAGACAAAACAAAAATCGAATTGTAAATCTTGTTTAAGTATGAAGGTGTTTATGGTTTTGATTGCATCTCTTTCATTAAAAACAATAGTACCACATGTGGCACATTATACACCTGTTGACATTCAGCAATCTGTAACAATGGCTAGGATAAGCAAAGAACTTGTGTAGCGTTTGACCTTGATTTGTGACCTTGACCTTGAAGCTGGGGTGATGAAAAGATTATGTGACACGCCATCTAGTGGTGCAAATTCATATCAAGTATGTTAAATTATTTTGAACGAATCAAAAGTTATGGTCCAGACAATAGAAAGTTTACAGATGGACAGATGGAGATTATACCATGCTACGTCTGTCTTTTGACAGGTGTAAAAAAAAAAAAAAGTTTATTAAATTAGCTGAAAAACTTTTCTGTGAATCTCAACAATTTGAAACGATTTGTTTATGTCTGCTTCTTCTATAAGAAAATAATATAAAAAAAATTACATTTCGCTATAGGCCAGATTTGATTTACTCCACAATTGGGGATATACAAAATAAATAAATACTGCTATCTAAAATAGATGAATACATACTGATATCTAGTATCATGTAATCTTTGTGTAATTTCAAAAGATTTAAAGGTGTAAATCTCATCTCTTCCAACCTTTCAGTGCAAGGTCAGCTGAAGAAAGGGCTACAGAGCTGCCTCCACAGGTAGCATATAAAAATATATTTTTTAATGTTATTTATGTTGTTTTAAGTGGCTAATGAGCTGCAGGAATGTCAAAATACTTTTTCTAAATAACGAAGTGGTGCCTGAGTCTGGTCTCTTGCTAATTGGCCAGCAGCGGCGAAGCTCTGAAGGGAACACGAACACTGGTTAGAAAATAAAACTACAAGCCTCTGACTCTGGATTCCATCTAAAGACAGCAGTTTGTCTTTCACGAGTGCGTTTTAAAAGGAAGTTTCAAACTAATTGGAAGAAGAAATGGTCAAAGAAACTATTGCTTGTGCTGACAACCATTGTTTACCTGAAACTTTAGTTGAAATAAGCGCGTTAAATTCGGCTTTAAGCACATTCTCATCACATCTCCAAAGGTCCCATTCGCTGTTTCACTAAATCACAATTATGTTCCCTCTGCCTCATCAAAGGATCAGTTTCTGCTGGCAAAAGGAAATGCAAATGCCCTCTCATCCAGGCCAGAATGGTTGAGGTGTAAATGGGTGACAGAGCACTCTCATTATCAGAAGAAGGGACTTGGTCTTGGTCGAACTAATCAGCTCTAATGTGTTTCAGTCCCTAATGCTCCCAAACTGTCGACAACGACAAACAGGGCTATTTATTTTAGCGGGACGTTTTTGTGCATCAAGGAAAACTGGCACATACTCTCCAGAGCTCCATGGGTGCATAAATCAATAAAGGGTCACTGCCTTTATCCGTCTTGATCAACTCACCTGTTTGCATGATATCCTGTTGAAGATATAAAACCGGTGAGCATAAAAAGCATCATACACCACTGCTGCTTGAACATTTCTGGATTTATTTACCATATTTTTTGGACTATAAGGCGCAGTGGGTGCAATATCAATTAACGGGTCTGTTTTCATACATAAGGCACACTGGATTATAAGGCACATTAAGCGAAACAAAACAGTCACATAAGTCAAACTTTATTCAACCCATGCATAATAACCACATAAATTTGGTTTGAGTTCAGTAAGCTCAGCCAGAATTCATGCATTATGCACCAGATTATAAGGCTCACTGTCAATATTATGTCTTTAGTTTCCTATATTCTCATTTATTCTGCACATTTTTGCAGAACCTGTTGTGATGTCTTCATCTTGTTCATTCCCTATCACCTCCCCACTCACAAATCTGTGCCACTGAAGTACTGTGGTACTTGACAGACTTCCATCTCCTTTCCTAAAGAAGTCTTTTTCAAACAGATGGCGAAATGGACCTCAATAATCAATCTGCCCAGCAGAAGGAATCCGATTATTTTATTTTTTTTATAGTATAATGATGAATTCATTCCTAACAGAAGAAAAAGCAGTAAAGAACGATAAGACTATTTATAGAACATTTATTTTAAAAAAGCATATTCACGCATCAGCAATGTGTATGTGGATCTCTACTGAACGTGAAATTCAGAAAGATAAAAGTGCAACAAAAATGTGGAACTCCTGCTGCGCAGAGAGCCATGAACAATCTAAGGGAGTCCAATAAAAATTAAATTTTAAATGGATTTTCTTTTCTATGGAAAGTGCATTTTAAATTTAGCACAACTGAACTATATGATATCAAGGACTCAATTTATGACTGAAATCTGTTATTTCTTAAATTAGGGTAATTTTTTTAAAGAGGCAGTCAGTGGTTAAATAAAATGGAGCAGATTTTAAAGATAAACTCATTTTGGTTTCGTACCCTGATCCAGAATCTCTTTGTTGGTGTCCAGCCTCATCCTGACCTAAAAGATGCCGCTCTCTCTTTTTGTGTTTTAAATCGATCTCAGCTGAACTTTCTCATGATGTTGTCCTTTGTGATTGGATCATCTCGTAAGGAACGTCTGGCTCTCAGATAATCCCACTGACGATGGCCCTGAGGTCTTATCAGGATGAATTTATATTCATTGATTCATTTTACAGTTATTTTAATCCACACATTCTGTTCAGGTTACTGTCTGCAAAACTTGAATAAGCACTGGAGCGAAATCAGAAAAAAGCTCAAGTATTTTGATGAGCGGTCATATTGTAATGGCTGCTTTTTGTGTATACTAAAGTCTTGAATCATTTAAAGGTGCATTAATCTGTCCACACATTATTTGCACTGCTCATTTATTTATTTTACCCTGAAAGCATTCTCATTTAAGGATGAAATACATAATCCTGAACAGTACTTCTTGAGTATGCATCTGGTACTTCCTGAATACATACCTAGTACTTACTTGGTACGTATGGAGTACAAATTTGGTAATTACAGCATACTTAAAGGTTACTTATGAACTACATACTGGTATGTACCTGGTATGAGTTACACACCAGGTACTCAAGGGTTACATACTTAGTACGTACCAGATATATACCTAGTACTTACTGGATACATACTTGGTACTTATGGGGTACATACAGGCTACATA